AAAAAAAAAAAGAAATTGCATATGTATGGTGACAAAATACAAAAAAAAATACGAGTGTCCATGAATTTTGTTTCTCTACTCTACCCAGACTAACACACAAAAGGTCGCTGCCGTCAAGCCAATTTTGACTCACAGTGACCCTCCAGGGTGAGGCAGCAGGGGTGAGGCAGCAGGGGTGAGGCAGCACTGCCGAGCTGTAAGTCCTCATGGAAATGAGAGCGTCATTTCTCTTCTAGAAGCCGAGCGGGCGGTGGGTTTCAACTGCTGACCTCGCGGTTGGCTTAGCAGCCTAACGGGTCCTCCATGACACTGCCAGGGCTTCTGTCTGTTTGCTTAGTGGGATTCTAACACTCTTCACTCCCATGTGAACGAACACTGTGAAAATCTCTTTGAACTAAAACTGAAGGCACAAAGGAACAAGAAAGCAGTCTGGCCAACGGAACAGCTGGGGTGTAACACAAAGGGACTGCAGGCTGGGGACCCAAGCAGGCCACCGCCAAGGCTGTTGCCAGAAATCCCGTGCCATGTTCCGATTTCAGAAAGGGGGGCGGGTTTAACGGCCACTTCCTTAGGCAGGGGCTGCGGGTTTGACAAGCCAGGGCTGGGGAACTGAAATCTCCGAGTCAATTGAAATGCAAGTGCTTTCCCCATTCCTGAGCCGAAGGACACAGACAGGAGTTTAGCAAAGAGACTGGAGACCTGGTTGCCGAAGAGTTGGGAGCTTTTAGTCATTAGACCAGCCTGGGCCTAGGAAAGTGAAGGTGTTGGCAGCAAGCCTGCGAGGGCATGGGGGCAAAAGTAAAGGTTTGGGACTAACTGAGACAAGCAACACTGGCCCCCTGGACCAAGGCCCATTCATATGCTGGCAAATCTATATGCTGCGACAGACAGCCACGTTCCACGGAGGGAAGTTGAACAGTGGTGACTGGGTACTGAGAGGAATGTTCATGTCAGAAATTAAGTTCCCAGCCCAGTTCCAAGAAATCCATGTGATGTAGCCGTATTTCAGGCAACAGAATCCATATGTCGATTCTAGATTTCCTATCACGGGGCCCTGGCTTCCAGCAGGGGTTTTCATCTAGTGATTTATCAGACCTGTAATACAGTCTGAAAAGATGAACCCATTGCCATCAGACTGATTCAAACTCATAGCGACCCTATAGGACAGATGGGGCTGTCGATTTTTATGGAAACAGACTGCCACATTTGAAAATTCCATTCCACCTTAGCCTCACAATGTATTCAAATTAAACACAGACACGCTGTCAGTGTGTTATATGAATAACGGTGTGTTGCTGTCGTGTGTAAATACTGGACCATACTTTTGATTAGTTCCTTAAGATCTCCTCACAGAAACGTCCTGAGCAGAGAGTTGCAATGGCTTATGTGTCATTGCGTGTACGACACGGGGAAACGATCGTCCCCATGGCACCAGTGCCCAGAACCTAACTGGCTAAATATTCTGTCAGGGAGAGAATGATTAGCAATTACCCTGCAGTAAGATTATTTCCTACGATTATCGGTTTAACTAAAATTTGTCCCTTGATCGCAATTCATTAGCAGATAATTATAACAGAAGTTCTACATGGGCTTCATCAAACCAAAGTAAATCCATTGTTATTGAGTTAATTCTAACTTGTAAGTGGGCATTATAAGTGTGCTTAAATTAATATATATATTATTGTGAATTAGATAAGGGTTACATACCATCATTTTTGCATTCGACAATTTAAAAAACTTATCAATCCTCCCTGGCTTGATTTATCCCCTCCCTTTTTTGAAGTGCCACATTTGCCTCCCTCGGAGTGGCTGGGGGTGGGGGTGGCGGGGTGGGGCGTTGAAACCAAGGAACTTTTTTGGTGAGCAGCTGAGCACTTCACACTGTATCACCGGGGTTCCTCCAGGAGAAACGAAACCTGCTGAGGTGTGACTGTGACCCCCAGCGAGCCTACAGAACAGCACTAGACAGCCAGCCCCCTTGCGTTTCCAAGCCTGTACCTTGAACAGCCACCCCTGGTCTGTCCGTTTGTTGTACTGCGGTGGCTTCTGTGCTGCTGGAAGCGAGGTTGCTGGTATTTCAAATGCCAGCAGGGTCACCCAGAGTGAGCAGGTTTCAGCAACACCCGAGACCCGAGACTCTGCCCTTTTGGGTCGAGCGGCATGAGTGGGTTTGTTTTTTGGTTTATGGTTTATCGTGATGAAACCCTTTCTCTGTTTTCAGACTGCCTGACCATCTCTGCTCTTTACAGAAATGGCTTAGTTCTCTGATATTTACATGCTGACTCACAGTCTCCTAGCTGGGTTTCAATTTATCATCTTGGTTTTATATCTG